CACGCCGGATACACACACACACACACACACATATATATATATATATATTTAGATATATACATACATGTGCATACACACAGACTTAAATATTGGCCGCTGCTGGCCAAAAGATTGATCGCATTTCAAAACAAGCAGGCGATCAAATTTTATGCACACAAAACCTCTGCGCTGAAAAGCCGTTAACATTTTGCATATACATCGCACACACACACAACCACACACACACACACACACACACACACAACCACACACACACACACACACACACACACACACACATGTATTTGAAAATAATGTTTACATTTATATTGGGTTTGGGTTGCTCAGCGTCAGCATTAAATATTTTAAGGGGTTTTCAGTTTCGCTTTGGGCTTGGATTTGGATTTGGATTTTGAACTTTTTGGGCTTTGGCTTGGAATTTAATGTGTGTACTTTTTTAAGAATTTGGCATACTTGAATTGAAATTGCTGTTTGTGTATGCAGAACACCGTATCGAAAATAATCTCCATCCTCCCCCCACTACCCCTATACCACACTACCAATCCATGCATTAGAACAACACTTGCTCATCGATGGAAATCGCGCCAAACAACAAGCAAAAAGAAAGCAGATCTGTCTTTTGTTTGTTCAACAGATTGTCTTGTATTTATTTATTTATTTAAAACAATAAATAAATTGCAACAATTCATAATACAATATATGAAATGGCAGAACAGTCCAATGTCCTCAACTGACACTGTTGTCAGTCGATCAGAATGTATTTCTTATAATGAAGAAGAGTTTTACATGCCCAAAATGTACTGTCAACAACCAGGAAGCCAGCCACCAACGCTGACACGAACAGAGCACGCAGCTGCTGTTTGTGGCAAGTGTGGAGGAAAATCAAGCTTGCCCTATCTCTGCCATGACAACTAAGTCTACTTTAAAGCCTGATTTGGATATACAATGCTAAAACTGAAATGTCTGCGGGGCAAATAAGAAGCCGAAGATGAGATAACAGAAAATATACAATAAACTAGAATAATACTATTTATTCATATGCAAATATCACTTGTTCTAGCTCGATTCTCAATAAAGTAGAACACTTTCGAGAACTGGCATTTGGAAGTGGCAGCCACGCCTAATCTCACACAACAACAACACTCAAAAGACAAACAAACAGGCAGGCAGACAGACAGACAGGCGGACGGACGGACGGACAGATCAACAGTTTTTGAAGGTCGTTTTGAACGATTTTTTTTTATTGTTTTTTTTTTGAGCATTTGCATTTGAATCTAGCCTCGCACTTTGATAACTAATTATATAACTGCCTCGTCGGTTTATTATTGCTAATGTTGTTGAGGTTGTTGTTGCTGTTGTTGCTTTAATTAAATTTGTCACATTGACCCATATAAGAAGAGTCGCAGCGCATCAACGAACTAGCCCAGATTTCTAGAGGAAAAAAGCAAACATTTTGATTGAAAATCAAAACTACACCAAAATAAACACGAGTCGAGTTGTTCTCGTGTGATTTGGAATCGATTCCAAATATATTTACTCTACAACAGATATGGAAATTTATAGATAAGTTAATGTTTAGTTTCTTATTAAGGATGTTTAAGATAATCAGTAAACAGTTAACAGAAATCAATAAACAATCTTATTTACAATTAATATTCCTAGTTTCTATATTTATACACGATTAAAACAAGTGAAAAGTGTATTCAGCATTCGATATCAATTTGTCAACGTGTAATTTCATATTTTGCTGAGCTTTCTGGTCTGTGTCTGGGGTCTGTGTCTGTGTCAGTCTGTCTGGTCTGTTTGGAGAGATGACAAACCTTATGAAGCTAATGAATTGAGCTGCAACTATACGAAACGCCAAAGACAACATGACGAGTACGTAGCCGGTGCATAAAAACCTGAATGAGTCGGCCACAACACAAATGAAGTGTGAGTTTGCTGTTTTTAGTGTCTTTCGAGTCTAACTCAAACTTGGACTTGCGACTGAGATTTTGATTTTGATTTTGATTTTGACAGTGACAACGCTACATTTTTGGTGAATGCGTTCAATGGCATCCAGATGTCTGAGTTGCTGATGTACATACGCATAAGCATACATACACATATATGTACATTGTATATATTTATGTACATATTATATTTGCACCACTTTAGTTGCATTCCTTCAGTGACTACGACTTGTCAATCGATGATAGTGAGAATATTAAATATAATTAATAGTGCGGCACAACTAAAACATACCCTGTACAGACAAGGTTCATAGAAAGACCAAAAACAGCATATCAAATGAAGTGATTTTTTATTAGCTCTCCAGCAGCTACTCCAAAAAATTGTGCTGCAAATGGATAATCAATAGTTATCGTTATCACGTTAGCTATCGAAATATATATACATATACATGTATATATATATATGTTTATGGCACTTTTCACAGCTTTTGTCCGTTGTTATTCAATTTGCACAACCATTTTACAGTTTTCGCGTTCATTCGTAGTGCTTAAGGGGTATAATTACATATTACAGCTGAGCCAACGACTATTTATGGCTTGTACACAATGCGACTTGCTGTTGCCTTTTGCGACATCGACATCGACATCGAAATTGAAATCCAAATCCAAATCGGCACAAAACACAGCAAACACACACAAACACACACCCAACCAACCCACCTTCTTTGCCTCACCTTACATAATCAGCCGATGTCGCCAAGGTTAACGTAACGTTGACGTTGACGTTAACTAAATGATCAAGTGCGCACTGCGGCCGATCTTATCGCCCCCTTTTTCGATTCAATTTGATTTGATTTGATTCAATTCAATGCGATTCCATTCGATGACTTATTTTAATAAGCACTCAGTAGTAAGGTACTCGTAGTAGATCAAACTGTACTCGTATCCACTCGCGCAATCGTAAGCAAAAGTTATTCTGGTCATCGATAAGATTGCACCGACTATCGATACACATAGATTTACATGTTTGTTTGTGAAACTGAACCATGTTAATCAACTTGAACTTGACTTGGGTGTGTTCAGTGGGCCATAAATTAACTTGTGAATCACTGAATATATATATATATATATATATATATATATACATATATATATACATACACACTTGTATATATGTATGCCTGTGCGTTTATATGAGAACCGTGATTTAACAAGAAATCAGCAACAGTTATAAAAAGGACTAAAATGGTATGGGTTTTCTTTGTTTTAAATTTCAGATGAAGATCTCCATATTTATATAAACTCACTCAGAGTCAGTCAGAATGAAATTTGAGCAGACACGTCACTATATATAGTATTAATACCTACTGCTCAATATATGGGCCTTAAAAGGCAGCTTAGCGTGATCCATGGGTCTAAGTAGGTTTTACGTAAAGCTGATCACAATTAGCAAATTCATTCTAATAATACCTAATAGAGAATGTATTTATATATAATATATATATTGGAAATAATTTAGCTTTTGCTGTCATATAGCAACTTTCGTTTCTCTAAATTGTGAGAGAAGCTAAAAAGAGAGAGAAAGAGTAAATTTCGTTTCACTCTCGCCAACTTAAGCGACTATCAATTAGTAAATAAACACAATATTCACTATGAGGAGACATCGCCTCGACAAAGTTGCAGTAACTACACTGATATACTCCAATTACCACTAGAAATATTACAAAATAAGTAATAAAAGATACTCAGCGAGTAATTTCGGAACACCATCTTCCGATTTCTGATAATGAGGCATTTTGTGCACAAAATAAAACTTAAAAATAATAAAGACTTCTTTTTAGTTAGAATAGTATCAATTTCAGTTATCAACGTCAAGGGCAACATCGATTTGTTGGACTCAAATCATTGAGGTGATATTTTATATAAAACTATAGAGATATGGGATCTGGGTCTGTCTACCACTAGGTGTGTCCGAACTTTAGCCCCCCTTTGAAGAAACTTATATTTTATCGATAGTGTTTAGTTTACCATTTGTTAGTTTACTAGCAAAATTCGAGTTCAATTAACCAAAAATCAAGCAAATCACTCTCTTGCTCTCTCTCTCTCTCTCTCTACCTCATATTATTAGTTGTATGCTTGCTGCAATAAAATTGTAGCACAAAATCTTTGCCAAAAATCAAGAACAAATGACTTTAATTACCCCATATTTTTTGCTGTGTATTTAGTTAAGTATGTACATACATACATACATACTTATATGCATACATACTAGAAATATATGTATGCATGTTTGTAAAAAAAATAAACAAGGTGCCTGCACCTGTTGCATTACTATTTGTATTTCGTTTGTATTGCTGCTGCAGTGCCAGTGGCAGTAGCAGCAGCAGCAGCAGCAGCAGCAGCAGCAGCAGCAGCAGCAGCAGCAACAAACAATAAACATGCAATATGTTCTCGACTAATACTTTATAAATACTGTGTATATATTATATACTGTGTATTTAATGTAATTGCATGCGATTGTTGTTGTTGCTGTACTTAGTGACAACGAGCAGCACAAACGAACAACAATAACAGCAATAGGCAGCAGAGCAAGAAGAAGAACGGGTGTACGTATGTATGTATGTATGTATGTATGTATGTGTGTATGAATGTTGTTGTTGCCGTTAAAAGGTGTATGTTGAAATTAAGGCTACGTACGCTCTCCCTCTCTCTGTGTCTCTCTTTCTAACTAACTACTCAGGAATTGTTGCTCGTGTATTGTATTTGTTGGGTTTATTTGTGCTACTGGTTGACCTTGACAGGCATACACACACACACACACATATATATATATATAGAGTGATAAAGAGAGAGAGAGAGAGAGGGTGAACGAGCACGATCTCATGCACGAAAGAGCGTGCGTCCGCTTGACTAACAGAGAAGCAGAAGCACACACACACACACACACACACACACACACACACACACAGAGTGTGTTAGAGAGAGAGAGAGGGGGCGAGTGAGAGAGAGTGAGTAAAATTAACATTTGCTTTTGTGTTTCGTACTCACCTTTTGCGGCACTCATTAGATCTTTAACCTCTTTGATAATGCGCTTGATCTGCTGACTAGTGTGATCCAATTCCTTCTCGTGACGATTTAAATTGTCACGAAATTCGGGACTATCGACGATGCATTCCTCAAATTCTAATGGCTCCAGGCCGCGGCGAATATCTTTGCCGCCGCCCATTTTTCTTGTTTTTGTTTTTGATGCTGCTGCGGCTGCTGCTGCTGCTGCTGCTGCCGGCGTTGTTGCTGTTGCTGTGCTGCTGAAATTTGTTTTATGCTTAATCTTATTGTTGATGTTGATGTTGCTGTTGATATTGATTTGGGAGGCGTTCGAATTGTTCCGCCGAAAGCGACGACGCACAAAGTAAATGTGTTTGTTTTTTAATTTGCCTTTTGCTGCAGCTGTGGCTGATGATGATGATGTTGATGCTGCTGCTGCTGCTGTTGTTGTTGCGGCAGATGTTGTTGCTGTTGTCGCCGATTCGTTGTAGCTTTGCTGCTGTTGTTGTTTGTTATTAGCTGTTGCGTTATAATTGTTGTTGTAATATTTCTTTTTATTAGTATTTGCTGTCTGCGGCTCATTAGTAGTTGTATTGGTGTTGAAATTAATATTATTAATATTGTTATTATTATTGTAATTATTATTTTTGTGTTGCGTCTGCTTCATAATTTTAGGCAAAACAAAATGATCAAACAAAATATATATTTTATTATATTTATTTAGTTGCACAATTTATTGTGTTTCTCTTTTGTTATGTGTAATTATTTTTCATTTATTTTTATTTTTTTATATTATTTTTAGTTGTGTGATGACACTTTCTTTGAGCACTTTTTGTCAAACAAAACAAATGCAAAAAAAAAAAACAAAACCAAATGCGGCACTGCAAAAACAAAAGGGAATTTCAATTAATGCACACACGAAAAATGCAAAACATAAACAAATATTATGTGTACATACATATGTGAGACAATAAAAACATAAAAAACAAGATGATCACAAATAATAACATTTCTCCCTATTATTATTATTATTATTTTTTCTTTTTATAATCGCACAGCCAAAACGAAATGAGTATTATGAAAAACACGGTTAAGAGAGACATATTAAAAAAAAAAAAGGACACATGGATTTAAAAACAGATTTACAAGCTCACATATGCGTGTAGATAATTAATTATGTACTGTGTAAACAATTACAATGGCTGACAAATAACATTAATAAACGGGGCTGCAGTCTTTAATTCTTATTCATAATAAACCGAACAAACACACATTAAAAAGCAGGCAAAGCGAAGACAAAAAAAAACACACACACACACATGTGCGCACACGCACACGCAAAAGCAAGCTGTATATGTATATAAGATTACTGTAGTACTAACTTTTTTTTCAAATGCATATTCTGAATATTGAGGAGTGAGTGCAGCAGCAGCAGCAGCAGCAGCAAAAACAACAAACAGTCACAGCAGCATTAGCAGCAGCAGTAACAGCGCAAGAGCGAGAGAGTGCGCTGGCTCGTGCATTCACTTGCTCACTCAGTCGCACACACGCACTGATGCTGCAGCAGCTGCCGAAAAAGTCAAGGCATAAACAAGTACGTTTGTGCATTGCACGCAATCATGATAACTCGACAGTGTTCGCTAACAGTATGATTTTGATATATGAATTTGAAATTTGTCCGATTTTTTTTGTTGCTAAATTATTGTACATTTCATGCGTTAATTAACTTCGATTCAAAAAAACTCGTAAAAGAATTGAAAGGTCATAGTTCTTGCTGTCAGCTACTGCATAAACGCAAATATTTACAGCGAAATTCATTTGCCGCTGTTGCTGCCCTGCTTTCAATGTTGTTTTTGCTGATGCTGCTGCTGCTGTTGGCGTTGTTGTTGTTGTAGTTTTTGCTATTGCGGCTGCTTGCAATTTGACTTTGGTTTGCAGTTACTTTTTGGTTTCCGTTTGCTGCAACTAATTTCATTTTGCTAAAAATCAAATTTCGCTCAGCTACAAATGCACACACACACACACACACAAAATACTGAGGCACACACAAATATATATCTATATATATAAATACACACACACATGCATGCATTCGCCGTCGTTTTTAGCAGAAACTTGTTGAATATGTACGTAAAAAAAACTGGTTGCGCGACATCAACTATAAAGGCGCGTTCAGTTCGGCACATACACATTACACACTTACACTAAAATACACACACACACATACACACGTACAGAGTGTACAGCTAAAACTGCACTGCATATTTGCGTTGTTTATATTTATATATTTTATTATGATTTAGGCTCCGTTTTGTTTTTTTTTCTTCGTTCTGCAAATTTGCACACACACACTCACACACATGCAAGCACACACGCTCAGTCGAAAAGTGCGACATGAACTTTATTTTTCCCACATGTCTACTTCAACAAAAAAAAAAACAGGAGAAAAAATGCAAAAAAAATAAGAAAATAAATATAAAGATGGAGAGAATTGAAACAACAAAATTACACACTTCATTGCATAATTTCAGCTGCGGCGGCTACTGCGGCGGCTGCTGCTGCCATTTTGATACGCGCGATCAAGTAAAATACGCGTATTTCTTTGAACGCAACACCGCGGCACACACGAAAAAAAAAACACAACAAAATGCAATTGTTAGCCGTCGGTCGCGCGACGTCGTAGTCCGTTCACGGCAAAAATCCAACAAGACACAAGCCGAAAAAACAAAAAAAATAACATCACACGTCAATGTAGTCAAAGATATCGCCATGCGCCAAGCCGTTCGTCTCGTGCTCTGAGAGCATATAAATATGGGTATGTGACGTCACGTACGATTATTTTAAAAAGCGCGCTTAACAGCATTTAAAAATACATTTAGCCTTATTAGCAAAATACACTTTGAATCGCTTCCCAAAAGCATAAACCAACGTAATAATAATACAATTTGACTTTCATACAGATATTTTATAATTCAACGAACAACTTAAACAGTTGATGTGCATGTGTGACGTCACGTTCATATCTGTTACTCTCCTGTAATTATTCTGTTGCGTTGCTAGTCTGCTGTTATTTGTCGTAATGCGTCGTTTTGTGGTTTCACTGCATACAAATTGTGGTCTGCAACGTCATTATAGTCAATGGCATTCTTAAAAGCTAAGCCATAGTTAAATAAATTCAATCCGATGAGACTTGAGAGAGTCTGTTTACCTAACAGACGATTTTCAGACATGTTGCTTTGGAGAATTATCGACATACGCTATGTACTCATACGTGAACAGCGCTCACCTTGCGTTCACATTCCTTTGGTGAGCATGACTTGATTTTTGTAATCGCCGCCAGATGGCGCTCGAGTCAGTTTGCTCAGCAACGGGTTTTTACTCACTCGACGAACTCGTTACTAGTGTTCAAATTGGGACTGTTATCGAATGTCTTTGAATCCAAGTGATGCGCTCTTCCCACCCTTTCATCGAATATTTTTAAATATATTAGTAAATAATTCGAGCTTTAAATGTAATTTATATTTTGTATATTTTCAATATGTATATAATAATAGCAATTACACAAAATAATATTAATAGACAATAATAATAATAATAATAATAATAATAATAATAATCATAATAGTACAATAATGATCGGTATATATTTATTTATTCATATAATCATTACATCGCTCCTCAACGATAGCAAAATGAAGACATACATTCAACATGCAAACATACAAAAAAATAATAATAATAAGATGGAAAAATATTGTATTTAGATTTAAGTATGTATAATTTCGGATAAACAAAAAAAAAATAATATAGTGATACGCTTTATGTTTTGATTTAAATCATATAATTATTATGAGTTATTCAGTTAGAAATACAAGGTAATAAATATATAAACGTATGCCTTGGGACCTCCTTTTGAGTGAGGCGCTCGCATTGTAATCGGCAAAATATACATATATATATATATATATGTATATGTTTAAATAATAAGATACATACACATAAATGATACACATATATGCTTGCAGTGGCATGTTTTGAATATTTTCTATATATGATTATATACCGTTAGCATATAATAGTTCGAATTGAATTGAATTTCACTTCAATATGTTTCTGGTTGATTCGTTATGCGAATTGGAAAGTTTACTAGTTTGCTTGTTTGTTTGTGTGTGGATCGTGGATCGTGTTTGTGGAACGCAAAAAATGTCTAAATTTAAAATTATCTGTTAACGTTGCATTTATATTTTATATATAATGTACTTTTAAATTATTTTTTAACGTGCTACGTTAATGGTTTTTTCGTTTGTTTTTTTGTTGTTTGTTTTCTTTTCTTTTTTTTAAATTTGTTTATCATTTTTCGCTTATTATTTTTTAGATTTCTTCACATAAATTTAATATAATTTGCTTTAAGTTAAAATCTTTACTTCTTTAAGTAGTAGAATGTTTCGTGAGTTTTTCGTTTTTTTTTTTTCATTTTCTTCTTTTTTATACAAACAATTACAATTTCATTAATTTTTTTCTCTCAGCCGTAATAATTGGTGTGTGTGTGTGTGTTTGTGTGTGTGCGGGTGTGTTTGTGTGTGTGTTATGTGAGTGGTGAGAGTTGGCAAACTGGCAAAAACTAAGCAAGCGCATACAACACGATGGTGAATTTAACGAAGGTGAATTCGCATGGATCTCTCCCTCTCTCTCTCTCCGTCTCCTCTCCTCTCCTAACTCTCTCTTCGTCTTCCTTTCGCTGCTGCCAAATTTGCGTATTTAATTAAATACAATTTGAAACATTAACTGTGCCTGCTGTATGCATTATTTATTTGTAATTTAATTTTTAAAGTTTCCTTCAGTTGTTGTTTTATGGATTGTTACGTGTATATAATCCTTCGGTCTTGTTATTTATTAATAATTAATTAATAAATTGTATTTATTTAATTCGTATTTATATTTGCATTATTTATATATATTTATATATTTATACGTGTGTATGTGTGGTTGTTGTTGTGGGTGTGTGTTGTTTTGTGTGTGTGTTTTTTTCAATGATTTCTTTTGTTTGATTTGTATGCTTAAACTGTAATAATTTTAATTATAATAATAAACTACGACCATTTTTCGCTGAACACTATCTTCTTCTTTCTTTCTTTCTCTTTTTTCCTCTTCTTCCTCTTCTTCTTCGTTTGTTTTCTTTCTGTTAGCGTAAAAGTTTCTTTGTTCTGTTTATTTCATTTTTATTTTACGGTTATTATATTGTTGTTCTTCTTCCTCTTCTTCTTGTTTTTGTTGTTGTTGCTCTATATGAGTTGTTGTTGTTGTTGTTGTAGTTCGAGCTATTTGTGGGCATTCGCTTAGTTGTTTTTGTACCTGTTGTGTTCGGCAGAGAAAGAGAAAAGGCATGTATTAGAAAGAGATAGCTTGCTTGTGTGCATGTGCATAATAATAATAATTAAATAAAATACGAAAAGCACGCAAAACTAACCGCATTATTGTTTCTGTCAAATTACTGAACATTACGAACAACAAAAAAAAAACAATGGAAGAAATATTTTGATATTTCACTACGAGTGTTGTTTTTGTTGTTTAGGTGTTGTTTTTGTTGTTCTTGCTTTTATTGTAGTTTGTATTGGTCGTTTTTTGTTTTTTTTTTTTTGGCGCTCATGCAAAAATGTTGTGTTGGGCATTTTGTTGTTTGTTGTTGTTGTTGTTGTTGTTGTTGTCGCTGCTACTGCTGCTACTACTTCTGATGTTGTTGGTGTTGTGATTCTTGTTGTTGTTGTTGTTGTTGTGATTGTTGTTGTTGTATGCAATGCAATGCCTACATATACGGATAGCCCATGTTGCGACCGGCCGCTGCTGCTGCTGCTGCTGCCGCAGCGCCAGGTGGATAATTGGGGGCATATTGTGGTGGTATGCCGCCCATAGCTGGTCCAGCTGTTATCATCAACTGTGGCTCCATCTGTATGATGTTTTTATGCTCCGTAGTATCATCCTCCTTCTCGCGCTGCGCCTCATTCAGCTCCAGTTTATCCACCTTGGTGGTGTATTCGCGCAGCACCTAGTCAAAATACAAATATATATATAAGATATATATACATATATATATATATATATATGTATATCAGTTGGTAATTACCTGTATCAAGTAGGGCATGGCAAAGTCCATGATTTTGTGTTTCCATGCCAGTTCCAGGATGACATCCGGACGCAGCAAATCGTAGCACTGCAAAACAAAACAATCGGTAAAATGCAAAAAATAAATATAGAAGTCATAAACTAGTTCAAGGAATCAAAAGGATTCATTTTATGAAGCAGCAGCTGCAGCATTATTATTATTTTTGTCGAGAGTCGCCACAACGCACCTGATATAGACATGCCGCAAAGCAATCGTGTGCGTTGCGCTCCAGGAACCAGCCCAACAGCTCCTCGGCAATCTCCTGCTTGCCAGATTCGGCGGCATACTCCATAGCATCCTTGTACAGCTTGTCCTTTTTGCACAGCTCAACGCTCTGTTTCCAGCGATTGTTGCCTGGCCAAAGAGTTGACAAAATGTTCAAAATCAATCAAAATTTTGCAGGTTGCATGTGGCATGTTGCATGTTGCATGTGGCATGTGACATGTTGTGCTTACCCTTGTAGAGATAGGCTGCAATGCGACGGAATTCGGTGAGCTCGTGCTTCTCGAGCTTCTGTGCCAGCGCAATGGTATCAAAGTTATCGAAACCATCAATCGAATTGCGCAATCCCTGGTAATCCTCCTCATCGATCAGGAGGCCATTGAGCGCCTCGTTGATGGCCTTGTTGTTCAGCGATTGTACGGAGCGCAGATATGGTTTAACCAGCGGCAGATAGCCCGTCTTCGAGAAATAGCTGACGGCCCGTGTGTGATCCATGCGCGGTGCAAGGACGAGCAGCATATCGTTCAGCAGCAGCGGCTTAAAGTCCAAATAGAATTCGATTGCCTTGTAGTAGAGCTCAATGTTGGCCACCTTGGTGATGATGTCCTTGAAGTGGCCCTCACGCCACGCCTCTGTCGGATGGGCCATCATCGCCAGCACAGCATTATCATATTCCTCATATTTATCATAGAGGAAGACCAGCTCCGACCATAGATGCGCCGATTCGGCGGCACGCAACACTTTCGGTATATTGACACGCGACCAGAACAGCTCCAAATGTTCACGCATCTTTGATGGCTTAAACTTGGAATAGAGTATTGCCAATTCACTGAACATGCCCATGTGGGCACGCTCCAAGCCGAGTGCCGATTCCAGCAGTGCAATCAACTCATCAAAATAACCACGATTCTGGTAATAGTTTATCAAATCCTCCAGCTCATCGGCATGGACAACTATGTGCAGGCCGCACATTTGTGCCAAACGAAACTCTTCGGCATCCACACAGGCGAAGCAGACCTCCTTCCAGGTGCGCGTCGAATTTGCTTTCCGTGCCGAATCGACAGCGCCCTGGAACTCCTTCAGATACACCAGCGTAATGGCCAAGCGTGCAAAGTTGCTAACATTATTGTAGAGCAATTTGGCGGCATCGTACATGCCATCGGTGAAGCAGCGATCGCCAATCTTTTGGATATCCGCATGATTCGGACCGGAGATGAACTCCTCGAGATCGGCGAGTCGTCCGGTTCGTGCATAGGCATAGATCAATTCGCTTTCAATGTACGATTCACGTGCCTTCTTGCGTGCCATTTGCAGATAGCGGACAAGATCATCCCATGATTCCACTTTGCTGGCAACATCAACGACATCCATATAGGCGCTGGGATCATCCGCTTTGATATACGAATCGATTGCCTCCTTGACGAGTCCCTGTTGCAATTGTGCCTTGGCCAATTGAGACCATACAGCCGGCTCATTGCAACGTTCGGCAAACTCATTGGCACGCTCCAAATTGTTGACCTGATCGATCAGCACCTGAATCGCCGAGGTGTTCACATCGAACTTTTTGAATATGGCGAATGCCTCCTCGTACAATTGATTACTGATCGCAATGTTGGCAATATCAGGTGCATCATAGTTGTCCAGTCGATTGATGTAGTCCATGACACGTGTACGATCCGCTTTGATCGCCGTCAATATCAATAGATTCTGTAGATTGCGATGATCACTGAACACGGACGAGTCGAGTATGATTTTCTCAAGCAGCTCAATCAGTTCGTTGGGCAAATCGGCGGTCATGAATGCCTTGACCGTCACAGAGATATCATCCGGATCCTGTGTCTCGGACAGTGCCGTCTGCACCACCTGATCGATCAGTTGACGCTTATACGGATTGGCCTCCGACAGCACCTCGGCCCACAGTTCGGCATCGCGTCGTCCAACCAAATAGCGTGCCTCGCTCTTGAACAGCGAATTCTCGTTGCAGACGGCAATCAGTTCCCGATCGCATTGGCCCCGCTCGTAGGCGACACAGGCCAGGTGGGGATCACGCTTCTCACAGTAGCGACCAACGACGCGACTATCATAATATTGATTCTCTTTGAGGAAGCGCTCCGGATTGTTATTGGAATCGATGTAGATCTTGGCCAAGGCATTGTGGGTCGCCGGCTCAACGCAGCCCTCGTGGACGCGTGACTCGAGCCATGGTAGCAATAGTTTCAAACGATTACGTTTCTCCACCTCCTCGACGAGCTCGTCCGTTGAGAATTGACCCTTGACAACCAATATGAGGTTCTTGATAATGTCCTCGCTGCAATCGACATCGAGCAGACCGCCAACAACCACGGGCAAACGGGATGGATTCACTTTCTGCACATAGATCTCAATATATTTTTGCAAATTGTTGCGATACAGATATAGGACGAGATCGTGCACAAAATCGAAACGATCACAGACAATGATCAGCGGCAGCTGATCCGTCAATTTGGCCTCCTTCAAAAAGTTCTTGACACGTTCGGGACTATAGCAATTGGATTCGCGACAGATGCGCTCCACTTCCTTGATCTGATTGGTTTTGCACGCCGCCTGTATATATTTGAAATGCACCTCCGGATCCTGTGAGAAGTTGACAATGCTGCTCAAGAAATAGAACAGACCGTCGTAGCTCTTGAAACTCTCGAATAGATCGATTAGTGCCTTGGTGGTCAACTGTTCATGATATTTCGTTGCGATCTGCACACAGATCTGTAGATTTTGTCGCAAATTAGCGGTTAGCATCGCCTTCAAACACTCCAGCGAATCCTCCACAGAGAGTGTGCCAAAGAAACTGACCAGCCATTCGGCGTTCAGCATATGGGTGTGTACAACGGCCCGCTTAATGTCATACAGATCCGTATAGTGCTCCAATGCGCGCTGCAATAGGCCAGCCTTCTCGCACAGCTGGGCGATGTGGGCGCGATCATAGTGGGTGAACATTGCATTGCCCAATATGGCATCGGCCACTTGGGGTGCCGACAACAGATTCATTTCGAGCAGACGTGTCTGCAACGCACCCTCCGTTGGCCGATTGTGCTTGAGGGCATCGAGCAGAAAGGCTGTGCACTGCTGCACCATTGAGTGTTCCATGAAAATGTCAACGATTTGATTGATATCCGCCAGCGGTTCCTCCTCGGCAACCAGCATCGATGCAAAGCCAGCGCCCTGCTCCGGATTGCTGCGCATCACCGAACGCAACAGAAAGATATAGTCGGGTGTATAATTCACTTTCTTTGCATAGAGCACAATCTTTTGGAATTGGCCCGTTTCGGCAAAGCATTGGATCACCTTGTTGGGCACATTGGCGCGCAGATAGATGGACAGGGCGAGGGTTAGATCCGAAGTCTTAACAAGATCGCCCAGCTCCTCGCTGCACTCGAGCTTCTCCTCCTTCAGCCATTTCTCGCACAGCTGTTTCTTGCCCTGCACCAGCACGGGTCGGCACAATTCGAGTGATTCAAACTTGTTCAGCTTGCCCTGATCGAGCAGTATGCCAAAGTATTGCAATAGGGGCGGCGTTGTTGTGCCAGCCGGTGTCTGAACCTGTTGGAAACGTTGAATCGTTTGCGGTGTACGAAGTATGGCCTTCGGTGCCAGTGCGGCAACCTTGGCCGCCTCGGCATATTGGCCGGCGGTGAAGAGTTTATTGAATTTACGCACAAATAGATCCTCGGCGCCGGCCAAATTGTTGCGTACAGCCATGCGTAAAGCGAGATCGGCATTCTGGAGCACTGTATTGATATAGGGTATAATTTGCTCCTCATCGACGGTAACGGACAGTACTTGTCCCTTGCGATTGACGCCAATAATGCCGCCGCTGGCCTCGTGCGGTGCGGTCACAAAAATCGTATCGGCCGATATGCGATTCATGTAGATGCACGTGGCCGTTTCCATGTCGTACAAATGGATATATCCATATTTGGTTATCAAATAGATGGTATCATATTTGGCGGAAACCTGCATGGCAACCGGAAAATCATTTTGTGCCTCGGGCGGAAAGAATACATCGACGGCCTTCTTCGGGAACGGCTGATTGCCATTGGGCGGTGTGCCCACCTCAATGATGTGCAGCTTGCCACCGGTTGCGGTGCGTACAGCGAAACAGAATAGCGTTGTCGGCTCCTTGTTGCCCTCGATTTTGAATGTGGCAAAACTGGCCGCATGGCCCTCAATTGCCTGGGACACCTTACGCTCAACCGAATACAGTTGCATGGCGCCAGCGACACGGCTCGGAAGCGCTGAGATGCCAACAAGGAGGAGCCATTGTTGGGATGCATTGCAGCGATAATTGATTATCTGACAGCCGTTGAGCGAGGAATGTCTATCGAACATTTTCTGTGGCATCGAATCACCCTCCATGGACCAATGGAATACGCTCGTCTCGGTGACCAGGGCCAGTGTATTGAGCGATATCCATTTCCAGAATACCACATCCTCGCTCATCGTGTGCGCCTTCATTTTTGATTTCATCTCAATGTTGAAGATCTGCAGCGTCTTTTGCGCTAAACAATCAAAATATCAAATTATTCAAAATAAATATATATAATTTGACATATATATATGTGTAGAGGATATTGTACTGATTGCATACCTTTAAGCGCAATCACCTTGCTGGCCGGATTCATAATGGCCGAGTCCGCCGATATGGGACGTCGCGTCGGATTTGCCGAATCGTTCATATCGATGATGACCACCTGGGCGGTATCATTGGTCTTCTCGCGCACACAGATGAACTTGTCCGACTCCATGGTGAGCGTGCTGAAGGAGAACGAATTCGGATTGATGCCGACATTTGTGAGCTGCAAGGATATGTGCAAGAGGCAAGGACAAACATGAGTACAAGCAAATCAAATTGTAATATATATATAGAACGGTTATCTTAGACTCGTCGAATATAATGACAATTACAGTCAATAAGCTCACAACTCAATTAAATGATTAATTTAAAAAAATTACAAAAACTCGGTTGTCGACCCAGAAATAACCTCAAAAATCAGAAACTGAGTCTATCGACATATGCATGTATATATAATCTATATATATATATAGTCACGTTTCACGGTTACGTCTAGACGTACTGAACCTGAACCCGCAAACGATCAGTTTGCTGATCGTTATCAGTAATCATCATCTCCCATAAACGATTCCACCCTCTGAAAAAAAAGAAACAAAAACAAATGCAAAATCTGACAACGAAATCAGCAAAAATATAAGACGCAGTAGTCAAACACAACAAGAACCCTTTACGACACCCACCCACTCCACCCCACCTCACCCCACCCCACTCAATCCAAAAGCTGATCGTCTGATCAAAAACAAACTTATGCTAAATAGACTCAGAAAGTTCAAGGTTTTGCAATCGATTAAGTACTCTCTCTCTCTCTCTCTTTCACTTGTACTCATAATGCACTCGTGCCTTCTTCTTTCTTTCGCTCTTTCGTCTGTTTTGAAGAACGAGTAAATTGATCAAGCCAAATTTTAATTTTTGGCGTCTGCCATAAGAATGAATAACATAGCAGCAATGTGTGAATGTGTTTGTGTGTGTGTGTGCGAGTATAATTGTATTTGTACTACAAATGCAATGCACTTGAACAAAGAATAATGAAACAAAGAGAAAACATGAAGAAAGCATTTGTCTTGATACATCTGTGTGTATATATGTGTGTGTGTGTGTGTGTGTATAGATATACGTAAGCATCAACCAAAATGGCGTGCTGCAATTTAATTTAATTTTGATTGTTAAACAACAACAATTGATAATACAGTTAATACAGTAGCTATTTTCTCTCTCTTTCTAACATATGCAGCAAAGCATAAGTTGCTCTCCGATTTGGATAACAATTGATGAAAAGTTTTCGATAATAACTTAATTAACTTTAAATTACTTGAAATTATTGTTAAGGTTCACTTGATCATATTTTGAGCTTTGAAAGTATTGGACCAACAATGTTTGCATGTATCAGAGGGCTGCTTTGTTGATGATAAACAAAAATAAAAATATTACTTATCAGTTCAACAATTGTATTTGTTGTTGTTTATTGCTTGGTGATGGAGTGAAGCTTTAGTGTGGTGACTGGTACGCATGTACACACCCCATAAAAATACACACCAAAAACATGTTCGAAAAATAATGAAAATAAAGATTTAATATTTATGAAAGAAGCAACAGCATTTATCAATTGTCGGACACATTCTCAAATACATTTTTGTGATAGGAGCAATCAAACACACAAACATACAAATATACAAACATACATATATACTTACAATACATATTTAGCTATGCATGTCTATTATGCATTCACACAACAATTAGTAATGTGTTTTTTATAGTCTAACCTCAATAAAAAATTAGCTGCTCGCTGAATCATCAATTATAGATTTGCAGTTGTCAGATAAAGGCGCACAAGCAAATGAATTTTAAATATTCCAATAAGAATCAAATTGAACATATGCCTATGTACATTCATACATACATAAACACATGTGTATACATCATTTATATATATGAACTTTAATAAAGTTACACAGAAAGAAACAAAGTGGGGGGCGTTAATATATATGTATGTATGTATGTGTATATGTATGTACGCATGCATATATACATAATAAAATATGTAACTGAATATGTGCACATTTATTGGAGTTTTTTTTTATTATTATAATATTTGATGTTTATATTTGTATCAGGCTACAAATGCAATTTAAGGAATGAATAAACATTCAGCACAATGCAAACTTAGAATGCGTTCAGGGAAAAGCTAAACAAAACACTGGAAGCAACATCAAATCAAATGTGACAACAACAACAACAACAGCAACTACAACAACAGCAACTACAACAACAGCAACAACAATTGGTTGCAACAATGATTTTCTGTTTCGACACTTTTCGTTGCGTTTTCACGTTATTTATTTATGTCAATTGCAAATTAACACATTGTCGTTTCGCACTTGCTGTCAGAGACGACTCACACACACATTCACACACACACACACACATACTAATAAAAGACGCTACACAGTGCGTGCTCCATAATCAAATTTAGTCTACACGCCTTGCTTAGCACTTGGGCTGCGAGCAGGCGACCGACCACGATTTGGAGTAGGGTGTCTCAGTATTTATGAAAGTATAAAATCACTTCTCAAGAAGACCATAAGAAAAGATTTCAACTTGTCAATTGATATTCAAACGCATTATTTTCGATTCTTCTTCTTGGCTTAATGAAAAAAGTAAATAAATTAGTAAATGTATACACTGTAATTTCCATCTATATATATATTTGGACAGTTTCATGATACCCTCTGTTTGTTTGTCTATTCATATTGGTAAAGGGCATATTATTCAATCAAAACGACGACGACAACAGTAACAACAACAGCAGCAAGCGATGTTAAGCTTAAGTTACAACATACTAAAAACTGTGGTGAATTTGCTGAACACATGCGATCTGTTCATGTGGTGTCTGTATGCATGACGTTTCTGATTTTTTCACCACAGCTCAGCAAGAGCGGGAGTAGGAGAGGAAGAAAAAACTTAACATGTTGCTATTGTTGCTGGCAGGCAGGCAATGAACTCCCACTTGCAGAATATGTAAAAAAGCATCTGAAATGACGGCAATGACAATTATGAAACTTAAAAACCAAAAATCTACAATGCACCGAGTGTGTGTAAGAGAAACGGAAAGAAAAAACTCGCTGCTCGTAATTACAGAGAAACCGGTTTAACAATACACACTAATACCACTAACGTATGCAGGTGTGTGTGTAGATGTATGGGAATGTGTGTGTGTGAGCCGTGCTGAGCCGGCATTTGTCACCGCTAGCGGGGGGTGCGTGCTGATTCTTCTTCTTATGCATACATATGTACAATATGCATGTATGAGTACTTTTATTAATAACTGTTGGATTTGGCTTGCATCTGCACAGCAACTACAAAACAACAGCAATCACACAATAGATAAAAATAAAGCGAAACAAGCGAGTGAGAAGGAAAGAGAGACAAGTCTTCTAATTGGAGTAACTGTTGCCATTTCGACAACTGTTTCGAATACTTGCCATGGACGAGTTTATCAGCAACATTCACCAGCTCAACGAAATGGCGATAAACTATGAGAGCGTGAGAGAAGCACCAATATTGACAGCAGGCAGGCGCAGAGGCAGAGGCGTCTACCGGCTTGTGTGAGTGACTCATTGGCAATATTTCGTAAGCCAGAAAAATGGTCAAACGTTTTGACTAGTTTTGTTAGCAACATTTAACGGTGTTGAATTTTGCTACTCGATTTTGTCCAAAACACAATTTGATTGTCATGTTTAATGTTTGACATGGCAAATTTAACCACGGTGCAGCGATTCTTATAAGAATCCAATGGCATATGGTGAGTGGCGGGGGGGTCAACAAGTGGTTTTATACACGCATACACACATATGCACAATGCAAACGGAATCTTACTCGACCCGTTACTCAAATTAGATAGGCAAACAAATACTCTCTCTCTCTCTATAGTAGAAGTAGTAGTAGTAGTAGTACAAATTGAACTCACCTGTAAATGCTCTTGAAAGCGAATAGGAAGCGGTTGCGTCATCTTCACTGACTGCTATTTTAGCTCTCTGCTGGAAGTTGCGGCTTGTTATTGTTGTTGCTGCTGCTCCTGTTAAAGAGTTCTGCTTGACTACGCTCTTCTTCTTATTGTTGTAGTTGATTTTTGGAGAGATTACACACGCACTTTTGTTATTGTAGATCGTTATTATACATGGGTAAAAAAAATATGGGAGAGAATACGAATACTGCTGTTGTTGTCTGCGTGTCAACGTTGAAAGACGTTGACTTTTGTTGTAGTTGTTGTTGGATATTTTTTCTTTTTTTGTATGCTAGTTGCTTGATCTGCTTTTCTTTTAATCGTGATCGTTCGTTGTTTTTTTTTTCTGTTTGTTTTCTTTAGTTGTTGCTGCTTCGTCTCGGTTTAGATTTGAAGCAATTTCGTTTTGCGTTTGCTTTGTGAAGAGAGACACCAAAAAAACTGCGCAAAGGAGAGAAAAAAAAAGAAAAATGTTTAATGAATGCATTAAATTGCGCTGCAAAGTATTTGTTTGTATTTTTTTGATCTTATTAAAAAGTAAGCGGCACAGCGTCACCGCCTCTTAAAAAAAACACACACAGAAAAACCCTTTAGTAATGATGGAAATATTGCCCCTTTCAAAAACACACAAGCACGCACACACACACACACACACACAGGGAGCTCACATATAAACACAATCAAATTTAGCGGAAAATTTTCTTTTTGTGTGTGTTTGTTGTCGTTTTCTAACTAACAATTCATATTTAATATTTTGGCTTATGTACAATTTGTATATTTGATTCACTTGAAATTTCACATAATACGTGCAGTACACGGGCCGATTGTCGGCAAATCTAAAAAAAATTGAATGAATCAACGACACGGGCGGCAACACTGACAGACAGACAGACACAATAACAAGTACGAAAGTACGAGTCAGTGACAGTGACGGCCCCTATGGTGTGTTTACAGCGAAATACACCACAGCAGCGCTGCTTGTGTAAAACTGCTATGTGCGCTTGTATTGGTGCATGACAAAGTCAAATATTGAAATGTCAAAATGCGCGCCGTACAAGTGTGCCCAGACACATTTATAAAATAAAATAAATTTAAAAAAAAAACGTAATAAAATTAATAATAGTGCAAAATTTCCAGTTTATCGGCAGTGTAAAAAAACATTTTTCATGGGTATACTGATTTATTAAGTTAATGTTTAAAATGAGGCAACACTGCCGCTTGCTTCCTCATAGCTCACCACACTGTCAGCCATGTTGAGTTGCGCTCCGACACACTTACACACACACTTGCATGCCTGTCGAACTCATGCACACACACATACTCTTGCATTAACATATGTACATGTGAGCAGTGAAAAAAAATTGCTTTGCGATGTACACACATACATACATACTTAGAAAGATATGCATAAAAACACTGACTGCATTGATTTTTGCCACGCAGTAATTAATATTTACAAGAACAACTCCAATGCTAAAATATGGTCAACATTAAAAGTTAGATGCCCCCCAAAATGCGCGCATTCGCTTTGAACACGTATGCCACATAAACAAAAAAACGAAAATGTTAACATGAAAAAAACACCGCCCACTAACACTTTGACACAGGCATAGGGGCAAAAAAAAAGATGCAGTTTTCTCTGTGCTCCGTTCGTCTGTGTTTTCGCATCGGTTTTGGAATTGTGGTGTCTGTTGCGATCATGGATATTTTCTATATAATTTTTTTTTATTTAATGCCAAACGACATCAAAGTTGGTATTTTTGTGTCAATTTTTTGGGGGAGGAGGTGAAAGCGTACCAGTTTTTATTGCTGTAGTTTAACAATTGCACGTCTGCACGAACACACGACGATACGATATTCACATTGAACTCTTAACACATTATTCTTATTCGTTAATAAATACACGATAGAGCAAAATTTACATCGAAAAAAAATTATGAATGAGACGACTTCGGTCACTGCAAGTTAGGGATGCATGGAAAAGACTCATCGATATCAAGCAGTTATTTTTGAGCAGTAATCGAAGGTCTTGCACTTAATAGAGTTGCCCCTTTTAAAGCATGTTTGCTTTACGCAATAAATACAATAACTTAGTCATTTAATAAAAAGTAATCACAATTTCTTTATTTATAAATAAAATAAATCATAATTACCCAGCAGATGCAGAATAAATTGATTCTTATTGTGAGGTAAACTCTTAACAGAACTGCTCCACACACATAATTGAGTTGACTCCTCAGCTCAGCAGCAGTAAAACTCGCTACTTTGAAATGTGCAAAAACTATCGCCCATCTCTAAACTCTGCAAGCCGAACAGTACATAAAGTTGGCAGTGCGCAAAGTAAATTCTACTTCAATTTTCAATTTCGAAACGCATTTCCAGAACAATTCCGAATGAAAGCCGTGCACGCGGTGGCCATGCAAAACGGTTAATTATTTTTTGTTATTCCCATGTTATTGTTGACGGCGAGCATTAATGCTAGCATTGCTATTCCGCCTAATTCGTTGAATGTTTAAAAAAAAAACACGCGCGTTGCGCGTCGCACGAAGCATATTCAAAAGTTGTTTGCTGCATCTGCTGTTTGTGTATGTGTTTATGTGTATATATATGTGTATGTGTGAGTGTGTGTATGCTTATATTAAACATTAACATTGCGAAAAATCAATACACATAAGTTTCGCTCGTGTGTGTGTTTTGTGTCTGCTTGTTGTTGCTGTGTGTGTGTTTTGTGTTTGTGTATTGCGTACCAAACGCCATTTGTGCAAAAAAAATTCAAGTTAAACAAAAGCGGGCTAACAGGGATAACGCCGTCAGCAAAGGGAGGGAGAGGAGCGAGGGGCAACTGGAGAGCATCAAAGGTAAAAAAAAGGAAAAAAACAAACATTGCAAATACAAAACACACACATACACCTATGCATATACGTATGTTTGTGTGTGTGTGTGTTTGTACATCCTTGCAACTAAATATAAATAGTAGGCGATGTCGGCGTTGCCAGAAATAATTAAATCACTCATCAAACAGAACCAAATACATATGTTTATAAACTTATATCTATATATATATAATATATAAATTAATATACATAACTTCCTATGTGCATTATTTATTTGTTTGTTATTTAATTGATGCATTCGCTTGTCGATTCACTTTAACTTCATTTCGACAAATAAATTGTTTCGCCTGACGCTCGCCCGGCTTCTTATTTATTTAGTTTTTCATTTTGTTTTGTGTTTTTTTTTTTTTGCAGCATCAGCAGCAATTCTTGTGATTTATTTTGTTCACACAGACACACGCGCAGCAAGCGAGAGAGACACACACACACACACAGACTGCTTCCTTTTTGTGCTTCAGCTTTGTTGTTGCTGTTTTTTTTTTTTTTTTGTTTATTTCAGCATGTTCGCTCCTTTAACAAACGCACAGTACAGCCAGACACTGTGTGTGTGTGTGTGCGAGAGAGAGAGAGAAAGGGAGATGGTGTGCGATATGCCGCTCTCTTCGCCTTTTTGTATTTACTACTCGCTCTCCTGCAGCGTTTTTGCATGAACATTTCTTATTGGGATACGTTTTGAGTGCAGCAGCATCATCAGAAGCAGAACGAAAACTATTTTGTGATATTCCTGCAATATAATAATACATTTTCCAAACATGAAAGACCAAAATATGTTAACTATATTCCCATATTTATTTACGATTAGATGAATTTTGATCGCGTTTTCTGTTAATTTGCCCAAATTTCAAATTAATGTCTTTTAGCAGCAGCAGTTGGAAGCTGACTGCTATGACAACGTTCCCGTTGCAATATATCGATAATTTATAACACGCATAATTGTCAGTCAATCGTGATTTTGATTTGTCCCCCGCTGCGGCGACTTAATTCCCGTTACACAATGTATATGTTCAATGTGTGTGTGTAAATATATATAAATATAATAATTACAGTTGAAAATCAACAACGAATGACGAGCAGGTTGTCATTAAAATTTTAGTAGTAAGATATTTCCAGTTGGATTTAGTTAGACAACTGATAAAGCTTCTGGAATTTCTGTTTCCAGTCGATTGGCAGCACCAGCAGCGAGCGCGCGTGTTTGAATAATTAAATAACCCGAATATATTCCACTGCACACTAAATAATAAAACTCAGCTATTTACATAGATTTGCACTAAATACATGTATATATGTTTGTATGCACGTACATTTATACATTCCGAAATTAAAACAAGTTTTCAACCCCCAATTATTAAAATTGTGCTGCAAATATTACAACTTCTTTCTGCACTGTTCAACTTGCTGCGCTTTTTATTTTTTGTTTTTGCTGTCAACTTTTGCGCATTGTTGTTGTTGCATTTAATGCTATTTTTGTGTTACAGTCTTCTTTGTGTTGCCGCCTTGGCGTGGTCTTCTCCAGAGCATATGTGTCTATGTGTATGTATGTTTGTATGTGTGCACATACACACTGAAATAGTATTTTTTTATTTTTTGTTGTTTCCTTTTTCTGTAAAATTTGTTGCGTTTGTTAGTGCTGGCAATTTCGCTTTTGCTTGCTTTGAGCACGCAGGGGCTGTTCGTGTGTGTTTGTGTGTGCTTATGCTCAATGCTCTCTCTCTCTCTCTCGCTCGCTCTCTTTAAGAAACAAGGAGTTTGTTTTTGGTTTTTGTTTTGTCAGCGCACCATTTTCGCAGCAGTTGCGAATTTTGCAGAGGGCCGCCAGTGTTGAAAACCAACATTTATCTATGGCGGTGGATATGAAAGAAAGTGCATAAATACTATATATTTATTGGGGGCGGGGGGAATTTCAACAGCGTCTCTTTCGAATGCAGCCAAAAACAGAATGTTGGCTCTGCTCTCGTTTCTCTCTTTGTTTAATTTGTACTTGTTTGTATTTCAGCATAAACAGGTGTAGCAACATATTACACATTTTGCACATTACATGTGTGATTTTGATTAATTTAGACCAGAGTGTTTTTAATATTGCCGAAGCGTCTATCTATTTATAAATAGATTAACATATTCGAATTTTTATTAATTTTTTTTTCATTTTGACACACTGTGCCGCTTTATTTAACTTCCTTGGCTCGTTTCCTTTGCCTACTGCGCAGACGTCTTCTCTCTCTCTCTCTCTCTCTCTCACACACACGCTTTGGGCTCTGTGCGTGTGTGTGTGTGATGCTCCCTTGTTTTTTGTTGTTCCTGCTTTCCACGCTGCTTCCTTTGCTGCCTTTGTATAATTCGCAAAATGCTAAAGTAAAGTGCTCAAAATTGCTGTGCTCTGTAGCATCAGCATATTTCTGCGCCTCTCCCTGTCTCTCTCTCTCTCTTTCACTCTCTCTCTTGCTGTCTGCAGAAAACAGCAGTGCTGCTGCCAACCGCAGCGCAGCAACAGCAGCTAAACAGCAACAACAATAATAATAAGCGGCAGCCTGTGTGCTTTCCTGGGCTCGCTTCATCGTCTTCCTCGTCTTCCTTGTCTTCATCGTCTTCATCGTCGTCGTTGTCGACTTCATCGTCGTCGTCGTCGGTTGTTGTTATGCTTGATTTTTATTACTTTACTTTTTCAGTATAATTCTTTGTCTTTTGACGTTTGTTTAAATGCAAAAAGGGAAAAATGAAAAAAGCCAAGACAAGAACCAGCGCACACACACACAACCGCAATAACTGAGATACCAAAAAGGAAGAAGCACAAACTACATTTTGTTTTTGTTGTTGTTGTTTTTTATTTTTTTATTTTATGTTAAGCACGGACAGGAGTCTGTACAAAATACAATTTTTGCGCAACGGAACGCAACGCAAGGCAAGGCAAGGCGCTGTCACAAATTATTGGCGAACAACAGCAGCAGCAGCAGCAGAGAAGAAGGCGCATTTAACAAAAATCGCTCAAACTGAAACAAGTAAAACCAACCAAATTTTGTAAATTGTTGTGCGCAGCAGTCGCCACAAAGTTTAGCAAAAGAAAAATCAATTTATTTGAATTAATTCGCTACTCAATTTTTGTGTTTATTTGCCAACAACATTTTTGTGTCTGGCATTATTTTTTATTTATTTATTTATTTATTTTTTGATTATAAAAGTTGTGTTTTAATTTGCATTTGGCGCTCGTTGCAAAAAAAAAAAAATGTGCAAAGCAAGTTGCCTGCATAATAATAACAACAACAACAACAACAGTTATAAAAATTATAATAATAAGGCAACTCTGTTTTCTTCTTCTTTTTGTTATTTTTGAGTTGCTGAATGTCCTTGATAAACGCGGCTTGAGCAGCGTCTGAATTGAAATGAATGCAAAAGCAACACAATGAATGATGAATATGAATATGAATATATATAGATATATATATGTATAAGATTTCTTGTACAATCAGCTCCAATTCGACTCATGCTTACCAACTTATTGTTTTGCAGTTAAGGAAACGCATCCGCAACATTTGAGCTGGAAGAGAACACAAAGAAGAACAACAATAGCAACAAATTTGAGCAACAGCAACAGCGACAAGGAGAAGAACGATGAGCGCTTCCACACAGGAGTTCTGCGTGAGATGGAACAGCCATTTGGGGAGCATTGGAGCCGCCTTTCCGCAGCTGTTGGCCGGCCAAAGGTTCGTGGATGTGACACTGGCGTGCGAGGGCCATCAGGTGCACTGCCATCGTCTGGTGTTGGCCGCCTGTTCGACATACTTTGAGGCGATACTCGCCGAGAATCCGTGCAAGCATCCGGTCATCATATTGCCCAGCGAGATCAAATTGTGGGAAATACAGGCACTGGTCGACTTCATGTACAAAGGTGAGGTGAATGTGACGCAGGCGGGTCTTGGCCAGCTTTTGCGCTGTGCCGAACAGTTGCGCATCCGTGGCCTATACGGTTCCGAGGCGGCAATCAACTACAATCAGCTGCAACAGATGCGGCACGATGCACTTGCCCAGGAGACGGCAACGACGGCGACAACAGCAACAGCAGCAGCAGCAGCAACAACAACAACAGCAGCCGCAGCAGCAACGGGAACAGCAGCAGCGAATCTGAAGCAGGAGGCGACAGTGTTGCTGCCAGCCAAACAGGAATCTCATCAACAGCAGCAGCAAAAGCAGCAGCAGTTGCATTTGGAGAACACAGAAATCGAGGACACGATCACAAACTCAACAGCAACGACGACGAGCACAACCGCCAAGCAGCAACAACAGCAGCAACAGTTGCTGCTGCAACAGCAACAGCAATTGCAACAGAAGGAGCAAAGACAGCGCCAGCAGACAAACGGCAACAATACGCTGCAATTGCAATTGCTACAGCAGCAGCAACAACATTTAATTCAAGCCAATGCTGGTGGCTCCTCGGCAGCAGCCTCCAACAATTCAAATGCACCCACCGAGGATGACTCGGCGGATGATGCGAACAGCAATTGGATATCATACAACGAGCCGTTCGATGACTTTCTGCTGGCCAACGACAACAAGCTGAATGTGCAGCTATTCCAGCAGCAACAGCAACAACAGCACCAGCAGCAGCAGCAACAACAGCAGCTGCAGCAGCATCAGCAGCAGCAGCAACAACAATTGCAAATGCAGATGCAACATCATTTGGACTCGACGATTGAGGACGATCACAATTATGTGGCCGCCCACGATGAGGACAACGATAGCAGCGGCTTTGTTGCCGCCAACATTGTGGGCAGCACCAGCGGCGCCCTCGGCGTGCTCTCGCTGAGCATGGACGCCGATTTGGATACGTCGGCGAATACGTCCGGGTCGTCATCATCGCTGATGCACAGCTCGATCGATGGCTACACATCGTACAAGCGGGTGCGACGCTCGGAGGCATCGCTCGCCCAGGCGGCCAAGTGTGTGTCGAAGGGGGAAACCTTTCAAACGGTCAGCAACATGTTCAACATACCCGTCTCCACCATACGCTTCTATATGGCACGCAAGGGCATCTTGCCGAAGCGTAAACGCGGACGTGGCGCCTCCCATGCGGGCAGCACAATAACAACAACAACATCATCATCATCGGCATCGGCATCATCAGCGGGCAGTGGCAGTGCTGCAGCAGCAGCAGCAGCGGCGGCAGCTGCAGCAGCAGCAACAATGGCAGCTGCCACAACACTGGGCAGCCTGTCGACGGCCGGCGCCCATCATTTAAGCGCACATCATCATTTGCCACTGGATGCCATGCAATTGAAGCGACTGGCAAATGCCACAGGCAGCACCATCAGCAGCAGCAGCAGCAGCAACATTGGCAGCAGCAGTGTTGCCACCGCCACCACCAACACCAGCCCCACAGCAACAGGAACAGCGGCAGCCGCAGCAATCACAGCAGCGGCAGCAACAGCAGCGGCAGCAGCAGCAGCAGCTGCCTCATCAAATAGCAACGCTGCTGCTGCCAATGTTGCTGCAGCCGCCTCGCCCCGCTTTGAGGTGGCAACGGCGTCCGGTGTACCGTTCCATCTGCTCAGCGATGCGGCGGCCTTCAAGCTGAGCGAGCAGCAGCAGCAGGCGCACATAATCTAACCGTGAGGTTGGGCAACGCTTGCATTTAACGCATCCTATTTGTGAAACGAGAGCGAGAGCGAGAGCGGGAGAGAAAGAGCGAGAGCGAGAGCGGGAGAGAAAGAGCGAGAGCGACAGAGAGAGCGAGAGCGAGTGAGAAAGAGAGAGCAAGAGTGAGCGAGTGAGCGAGAGTGAGCGAGTGAGCGAGTGAGCGAGTGAGCGAGAGTGAGCCAAAAGTTTTGAAGCAAGCAGCTTCTGTCTGTCTGTCTGTCGGTGTGTCTGTGTGTGTGTGTGTGTGTTACGTGAGTGTGTGTGTGTGCGTATGTGTGTGTGCGTGCGTATGTGTGTGTATGTGTGTGTGTGCCCGCCATACGGACAATCCAAGCTCTTGTGCTTATAGCCAGGCCAGGAATCCTTCCCATTTGCTTAAGTACTTTTTAAATCACAACACACACACACACACCTCTACACATACACACACACACACACCCATACACCTACACACACACACACGCATCATCGCTTTAAAAGCAGTTCGTTTTACTCAACTTCCTTCAAATGCTGACATTGAACAATGAAATGAGCTGCAACAGTTGTAAGCTATGCATATATATATATATATATATATATATATATATATATATAGATATATGTAACAATATATATATATATTTTAATTTAATGTTTTGCCTTTAGTCAGCTATATATTAATTATGAAATATTTGAACCAAGAACCCCTTAATTATATGTATCGCTTATAAGATTTAGCATTAGTTTTACACTGTATTATAAAACATGACTTTTTTCATGTAGCGCCCAAAATCATAAAGCCCGGCAAAAACAAAAAAAAAAACAAAAAACAAAAAAAAAACAAACCAAACTCATTTTGCTCATTCAAAAAACAAAAAGAAAAAGAAAGAAAAAAACAGAAGAAAAGAAAAAAGGAAGCTTTGTGCAGTTAACAGACAGTACAATAACAATAAGATTAAAAAGTCAGTTAATATCTATATAGAATATCTATAATTTTGGCCATCAATCGGAGAATGCTGTATGTTTATTTGATAGTTTACCATTAACCATTAACCATTAACCAACTACAGCTGAAAGTGTGTAAAAGTCATAATTTTAGAATGCAATCTGTGTGTGGATGAGAAAAGCGAACAAACATTTTTATTTGTATGTGAAACAACATAACAACAACAACAACAACAACAACAATCATTAGCGCTTAAGGCAGCATTTTAGCTGCGTTATTACAAGACACAAAAAAAAAAACACAAATCGATCAACAAAAAAAACAAAAACAAAAAGCAAAAAGAAAAAAAGAAAAAACATTTGATATACTTTATAAGTAATTAGAAATGCCAACATCGACATCGAAACCGACATCAACAAACATTTGATATATATACATGCGTACATCATCTACTCGACGATATTCATCATTTTAAGCAATTTCATTACATCCTACATCATAATATGTATGTATGTATGTTTCTATTACTTGCGATAATTGTTTGTATTCGTAAGATAAGCATCGACTTGAAAATGCAAACAAACAAACAAACAAAGAAACAAAATTATTATTATTATTATTATTATTATTATTATTATTACGATTACGATTACTACTATTACTATTACTATGATTATTATAATCGGAGTAGCTTCTGCAAGCCCAGTTGGGGTTTATGCCCAACTGGTTATTATGGGCATTTAAGCTGTGTAAAGACTTGTGCAAAAGACTATTTTGATTAAGTTGCTTTAATATTCAACAAACATAAGACTTGTATCCTTTTTCCTTTTAAAGACATTTGTATTCAGTTCAGTATATGCATATAAACACACACATTAATCTATATATATATATATATATATCGATATATATTTAATTTTTTTTTTAAGCCAAACACGTTTGTCATTTCATTTTACATTTTATAAAAAAAAAAAACAAAAAAAACAGACACTGTCTCAATTAAATGTTTGCCATACTCGTAATTGTAAATGTATTCATTTTATTATTATTATTTTTTATCTATTGTAAGACGAAAATTTGAGAAATTCATATTTCGAACGCAATCAAAACAAACACAAAAACAAAAACGAAAGAGCAGCTTTCCTAGGTACGCCGACGATCAAATACCCTTGAAGACATTTGCATTTTAGTCAGCAGTTTGAAATATTTACATGGTTTTTTTTTAAATATGTTTTAAACTGGATATTGCTGCACATTTGTGCAGTTAGAATATGGTGTGAGAAGGTATGTCATGTCTGCCACAATTTTAAACTCATCTTTCGACCGATTGTTCCTATGGCAGCTATATATAATATGTGGGTTCGATTCGATCGCCAATGACAAGTTTCAAGATATCGAACATGACTAGTTGTGCTGTTCAAGTATATATACAGAGATGTCTCGTTCAATTTGAATAATGGGTATAAGGGTATAAGAGCCGAGCGATTGTTCCTATGAAAGCTACATGATATGGTTATCCGATGTTGGTAATATCTTAGAAGCGTACCAAACTAGAGATTTTGGTAAACGAAAACGTTTTTGCAAACAGCAACTCATCTTTCCATCGATCGTTCCTATGGCAGCTATATATAGTGATCCGATCCAACATGATAATTAGATGATAAAATGATCAGAAGCTTCTATCAGCTCTCTTTACTTAGGAAGATAGAGCAGCTTTTGTCCCTCCTCTAGGAAGCATTCGCGGCGATCAAAAGATCTTTTCCAAATCAATGTCAAATTGCCGCTTTAAACAATATATATATTAAAATCGAATCGGAGAAGTCTCGTTCACTTTCGAAACTTTCGAATATATAATATACCCTCTGCATGGGTATAATTAAAAGCAATTGGAAAACTATTTCAAGCAACAAAATGTTGCGAATTAAGAAGAATTTAAGAATTTGAAATTTAATTTGAATTTGTGTTGAATTTTCGTTATGATCTCTCGAAAGTCGTATATATATATATATGTATATATATACGAATGTATGTATGTTTGCATATGTTTGGAAATGTTTATAGGTCGACTCATATGCAGCATATATGATTTTCAAAAGCAAAACAAAACAAATACCTCGTATACATTGAGCATAAATAAATAAATAATAATAAGCCATATATACACATAAACAACAACAACAACAACAACAGAGAAGAAGCAGAGCAGAGTTGTGCACAGCAAACAAATGAAGAATAAAGAGCAAAAAACAAGAGCGAATAACCCTTATTTTACACAAAACAAACACAGCTGCAATTGGACACTATTCGATTGTAATTTATAAAATAATAAACCGAATGTTGTTACAATAGTCACAAAAAATCTGAAAACAAAATAAAAACAAATGATGATAGAACAGATAAAACCCATAGCAACGAAAAATATATATTTTTTTTAAAAAATCAACTGTAAGATATGAAAAAAAGAAAACAAACAAATACAAAAAGTTGTGCTACAGCTTACTATTAAAGAAATGTATCTATTTTTTATTAAAAAAATCAAATTTTTCTTTTTGTCTTGTAAAAAAATATAATAAAAAAATCACGTTGAAATCTACTAATGCATAAGCCGAATATGAAAATGGCAACAAAAACTGTAGGCAGCTCACACATGGAAATGAAATGCAAGTATTATGAATATATACATGTGTATATATATATGTGTGTATGTATATATGTATACATACTATATTAAAGTACATACATATAAAGAATGTATACATAAAAGAGATAATTAAACACAATAAGCCAGCAAGCGCGAATTATGTTATGATGCAACGGCGAAAAAGAAAAAAAAAACAAAAGCAAAAAAAAAAACAGTTAAATTTATGTAAAAATTATAAAATGCGAAAGAAAACAGATAAACAGATGCAGATGCAGATGGTATTTTAAATAAAAATTGGAGAATTATATTGCATATTGTATTTTTTTTTATTGGATATAGCATGGACTTCGCAGAGGTTCATCAGATTATTGCTATCGGCAATCGATTTATTTCGATATTTTGGCTACACAGCAAATTATCGATGAACTGGGTAAAGTATACAAAAGTATTCCAAATTGCAGGGAAGTCTTCAGAATCGAGTCGACTGTTGATGTGGGTCAAGTTTATACATACTTTATAGGAATATGCTTCCTTTTTCCGGTTTGATTTGATTTGGATTTGATTGACTTTTGAACAGCATCCGCTTGTCGTTTGTTTGCTGCAGCTACTTACCCAAAATGGATTAAGCCAAAAGAAAAACAATTGAAAGGCAAGATTTGTTTAAAAGTGTTTGTTTAATTACATAGATATCATTCGCTTTTTAAACATACTCACACATAGTTATGAGTCTGTCTGTTTTTTATGTATGTATTTAGGTTTGCCCAAAAAGTTATAATTTTTGCGAATATGCATTTCAGACCATCTCTATAATTACGGCTAGGGCTAGGGCTAGGGCTAGGGGTGCAGGTCCTTGGGTGGCTGGGGCGAGAGAGAGAGACGGGCGAGGGGCGAGAGGGGGCGGTTTGGGGTTAGGCGCTTAAGGGTTCGTTGAAGGAGTGGTGGTCGTGGTGTGCACGTGTGTGTGTGTTTCTGTGTGTGTGTGTTGGTGTGTGCCTGCGTGTGTCTGTGTGTGTGTTGCTTAATATACATAAGATAAATTGGTTACATTTAGTTTGCTTCATTTTCTTGTTGCATAATATGATGATGAACTCGAACTCGAACTCCAACTTGAATCCGAAATCGAAATTGAAATTCCTCAATTAAACATTCACGTGTATGTGTTTACATATGTATGCATATATGTGTAGACATATATATATATATATATATACATACATACATGCATACATTTGTAAACACATACACGTGTATGTTTAATTGAAGAATTTCGATTTCGAATTCAAATTCAATTTGGAGTTCGAACTCGAGTTCATATTTATATATTGTGTGTGCATTTTGTTGGGTTTACTTAAGCTCTAAACATTTCATTTAAATAAGTATGTTTTCTTTAGCTTGTTTTCATCAAATTGTTTGCTTCTTTCTTCTTTAATTATATTTAATTTTCTTTTGTTTTGTTTGTTTGTTTGGTTTCTTCAAATTACATTTTGACCACGGCGTACATTA